ACTGGTTTCCTTGTGTTGTTACTGACATCTGGTGAGGATTTCATATCAACCGGCTCATTATAAACTAATTTGACTAATTAGATTTTTATTAAAGCAGAGCTGACCTAACTTAGCCAAAACGCAAACCAGAAACATAAACATGAAAGATTTTAGCATTATGTTGTTTTATGATTTTTGGACCGTAAAAACAAAACAATCATATTATAATCACTACACATTTGTGGTATAAAGCTTTTGCACTCAGATTTACAGAACATTTGAAGACCGGTATGAAAAGTATGACAGCTTTTGAAATGATGAATTTGTATGAATCTGGCACCTGGTTCCTACAAGCTGAGCACTAAACACAGCTTGCTCTACATCTGCAGGCACATGCTTGGCTGTGAGGGCCACAAATGCCCTTCGTTGACTTTTTCAGGGCAGGTATGCATGGAACAACTGGCAGGTCTTCAATGAAACGCATCACGTTCACTTAGCTTAGCACTTGACAGGACACCGCCAGGGGAGCATGAGAAAGCAAACCAACCTGTAAGCAGCATTCCTTCCATAATTCTCCCTGGAGGTTAGGAGGCGGCAGCGCTGGCAGAAACGAAAGGTCTCCACGTCCTCAACGAGGCGCCTGCATGCCTACAGCTGTGTTGTCCATTCACAGCGCGCACGTGCTCAAATGTCCTGCTGTTATGATCCAAACTGTGAAACTCAAGTGCTCTGCTGGTTTGAACAACAGCTTCCACATTGTAGGTCACATTTAATTATTTGTCAAACATCAGTGCGTTAACGATATCCTATCTTTATGACTCTAAAGAAGCACAAAGATATCTCTCTATTACTTAAGGATTTTTTTTAAAAGAAGCACTTAAAATGAAAATCTAAAAACTGATCAGAGCAAATTATAAACTCAAGAGTCATATTTTTCCCAGTTAGTAAAGATCTGCTCCCTTCTGGTTTTCTAAATCAACATCTAAACAGCAGGGAAACAAAACAAAAACATGTCTGAAACATTTGTGGATTCACTGGAATATATCTGCTGTTTACACAGCTCAACGTGGCATAATGACCTGCTCAAACAATGTCAGATGACAATAAAATAAACAGGTTTAAGATAAGAGGCAGTGAGCTCAAGTTAAACTAATACTAATCCTACCTGCAGTTCATAGTGAAGCTCTTTGTTTTTACTGTTTTCATCTTAAAAGAGACCCATAACAAATGATTATACCTATCAAGTATTAAACACATGCCTCATCAACTCAGGCATCCATAAACAGCGTTTATGGATGCCTGAGTTTGTGAGTTTATTCCTGTGGAAACAGGAATACCTGATGCTAAGTAAGCGGTTGCACTGGTTTAGCACTGCAACTGATTTGGTGGTGAACTTCCTACTGGTAGTGTCCCTGCAAATACTTATTTTTAACATTTTATTATTATTATTATTACAAACAGAGACAATATATTGAAATTCTTGTGTAATTCTAATTTTCTCTCTTCTCTTCTTAGACCACATCTTGCCCTAGAATACAGCGGTAAGGTATGTTTGGGAATTTCATTACTGCTTTTTCTGCCTTTGCATATATAAAGAATATTGTTGATTTGGACAAAATCTTTCTTTTTTTTTAATTTGAGAAGTTCATTAGCTCCATTGTAAAAGCAGGTTTCTTCCAATTGAAAATTTTAGCTAAGGTAGAGTCCTTCCTCTCTCCCAAAGATCTCAAAAAAAGTTATTCACTTTTCATATACACTCACTTTGATTACTGGCATTTTTTTTTTTTTTTGCATGTTGGTTTAGATTAATTCTTTGTTTTCAAAATGCTCCTTCTCGTCTAATTACTGGAGTGAAAAAGTATGGGTATGTTACATGTTTTGGCTTCTCTACATTGTCTTCTTGTTTCCTTTGTCTTTGTGATTTAGGCTACAAAGATTCATCAGAGGACCTTTGGTAACGACCATCCAATAACAGCCAGAAGCCTGGAGCTCATGGCAACCGTCTATGCTGAGATCGGCAAGACTGAATACTCAGGTAAACACTCAAATGTTGCAGAAGAGGGAAAGTAAACATAACTCTCTTTCCAAGGAAATGTTGAAACAGAGATGCTTAAAATACACAACTTAATAGCTGCTGTAAATCAAACATGGGTGTGTAACTAGTGGGAGACGCCTGTTAACATTGTTCAGCGGCAGTGTCTGTGAAAATGCACAGCTGATCTGAAGTGCTTCTGCGGAGAATGTCAAGCAGTGAAAATGTTAAATTAATAAACACTTGCAGTTGTGTTGAACACAGAAATAGTTTTATGCAGAACAACAAGCAGATATGTGGCTCTCTGACAGTTTGAGGCCACAATTTGTTGCGTCGTGAGCATGCTTCGCTTGCACTTGCAAAGCCTAAGACTCTCTCGCTCTCTTTCTTCCTTCCAACTTCTTAACTCTGCATTTTTGTGAGGACTGCTGTGTTGTAAAAAGAGTAGTACATTAAAATCACCCAGGCTGCTAAGTCAGCTTTCTGAAGCAGTGGAGCCAAATGGTAGCTGTACTTTGTACAGCGTCAAAGAGACACAGCAATATACATGTAGTGCTAGAAAGCTTGTCAGAATCCTTTATTCCTCACCACAGAACATTATAAACAAGGTCTTGCTTCACCGAAATGTTGTCTGGTGTTCAGGAAAGCACAAATTTAAATGAAATAAATCGATGTTTGTTCTATTTTTTTGTTACTGCTTGTTGTCAGAAAGTATTTAGTCTCTTATCGTTAACCCAAAGATAACCCAAGTTAATATAGCATTACGTTTTTGGGTCATTATTTGATTAGTTAAAGGGGAAAAAGCTGTTCAAACCAACTTGTGCCATTCATTTCATCAACTGCTTTTAAGTGTTTGCTAATTTGCAACGATTTTTCCACACTATCTTTGCATAGTTATTTTAATTCAACCACAGAGGAGAGTTTCTAAACAAACCAGAGTATCTCTATTAGTTTAATAGAGATACTCCAAATGCACATGAAGTTGTAGACTTCATCATGTTTGTATCCCCATGACGTGTTGGACAACGGTTAACTCCTTTTAAACACAATACATCATATTATTTGGATAATTTGTAACAAATCTACATAAATGGGCTCCAAATGGATAAAAGCTAAAATATATTTTATTTCTTTATCAATCTATTTCACACTTTTTTTTAACATAAACACTCTGTTTCCGTAATCTGATTATCTATCTGTAAAAATAAGACAATTTGAATTATCATTTTAATAAAAATAAAAAAAAGATGTATTTTTTTGATCACTTTTGTGTATTTTAAATGGCTCTGTGAATGTAAAGTTGCTGCAAAGTTGTGTAGTTCAAAATTGCCAACTGCAGAGACTGCCTCAAGGCTTTTCAATCGATTCAGATTCGTTTCGCTCATAAATAGAAACCAGACTCATGTTTCCAAAGTCCCTGTAGCAACAAGCAGACTCATTCCAGGCTAAGCCTTCTAGATCATCTACAGGATTTATCATTGTTTGTTTTGACTTCTGATTCAAGTTTGTTCCCCCGACAAGACCGTAGTCTCTCTCTGTTATTTTTAGGCTTATTCATCCTAATAGACCTTAGACACAAGTTAACCCAAAGCATTTTGACAGATTGAGTGTGGAAATACAGGACTATAGCTAAATGTAGAGATAACTTATGAGGTTTTGAGCTTTTGAGACTTAGTAGACCAGCAAACTTTTCAATTCAGTTTCAGTTTATTAAACTGAATCTACTTCAAACTTGTTAACATTATTCAGGAAGTATTTTTGGAAAAAAAATATAGAAAATAGTAATTAGTTTTTTTTTTTTTTTTTAACTTACTGTTTTTATTTAAATAAAATTTAAAGCCTGTATGTTTTAGTATGGTCATCACACCAAGTAAATTCAGCAAATCAGTACAATTAGTTCTCTAGTTGTCTTTGGATGAGCTAAATTCTTCTTGATTTATAAAACAAACAAATTTAGTCAATCTAGTGCCCAACACTGACCCCTGTTGGGTGCCACGAACAATAAGGAGTTGTTATCTGCCAGGTAATTAAATAAATCAACAAAACTTCTGATGCAATGACTTCAGTTCTTTTAATTAGTGTAACATGATCTCTTGAATCATTTGCATTTTTCAGTCAACAAATAATCCACCCTTTGTATTAACTAACATTTCATGGTTACCGTTAAAGGCCATGTTATAACAGCTCAACATGGAGTGAGAGCTGTCGAAAAGAAAACACAAGCTTTTATTATACACTTTATCCATGCTGTGATTCAGTAGTTTTGACAAAAAAGAAACATTAAAGCTACCTCACAATCAGGATAGAGGCTCCTAAATACTATAAGGGTTCCTAAGATTTCAGTTTGCACCAGTGGCTGAAGTATCAGCTAAGGAAATATTATACACCAGTAAGAAAACAACCGTGAACATTATGAAGAGTTTTTTAATGGATGGCAAGATCCCGACATCCTAGAAAGTAAAAAAGAAAAAAGAAAGAAATGAAGTCTCTAACACACATTGCTCATTGTTTTTTTGTTGAAAGATATAGATAAAACTCATTTGCTGCTCAGATATTTAACAACATTATTAAGGAGTAACAATTGTTTAGAAAATCAGATAAACTGCTTCTACAATCTTTATCTATAGTTGCATTTTCATTGTTTGTTGATCCCTTCCCAAATATTCAATTGAATTGAACACAATATACTTTATTAATCCCAGAAGGAAATTCACACTTTGGTGCTGAACAACAGCAGAACAATTACAGCATGCAAGGGTTAACATCCTGTCTCCTGTGTTGGGACACATTTGCATGTTCCACATTTACCTTCGGTTCACTCTCTCCGCCTTTACCTCAGACATTAACATGAATCAGCTCCCTGCTCATGCACAGTGTGATCATGGTATTCCCTCTAGACTCTCTGGGCCAGTGCGTGTCGGCGCTGTCCAAACGCTTCGCTGCTGCAGAGTCCCTCAGAGACACTGTCAACTGTCTTCCTCATTCCCACCGCGAGAAAGTTTGCGAGGTGCGTCACAGAAAAGACGCCCACCACCAGCAGGAAGACACGCCAAATCCTAAGGTAGGGGTGGGGACTTGTTCACAAAATACATGTGTTATTTCTCATTTATTTGTCTCGTTGAACTGTTATCTGTGCAGAATATTCATGTTGAGTTAATTTCAATGTAGGCAACCAGTGTCAAAGTCCCTACCTCCATTCTAAAGAGGCCAAGTCCCAATTATGGGTCAGACGCAGAAACCAACCACAGACGGAAGGGCGAGCGCAGGGTTCGATTCAGGGAGCCGGAGACCACAGTACACGGTGAGAAAAGTCAACTTTTAACACTTTGCAGAGTTCAGTTGCACGACTCTTAAAAGTTTATTTCATGATATTTGTCATTGTCAGCTGCACATTCACAGGAATTTAATTAAGAAAATGCACTCAAGCATAGGAATGCGTAAGCGACCAAACATGAGAGAGCAAATAAATCTTGCAATGCAAATGACAGTACATTAAGTCCTGAGTGAAAGTGGACTGTCAGACCACAATAACTGATTTGTAGCTGGTGCATATCATTGAAGTTGGCTTGTGTTGACACAAAATCTATTCTCTGTTGGCTTCACAGATATTTACTGTGACCCTCTAGGTGGTAAGTTTATTCAAAAGGAGCACCGAGTTGCATGGGGGAGCACCAACAGCACTGCAAAGTCTTTGCCAATATCTACCGTAAATCATCACATAATTTAGCTTTTATGATTTGTTACAAGCTACTTTTGCTTGATGTGCACACTGTGGTTACACTAATCACTGATACTCCCTTGTTTTTAAGAATCTGAGGCACATAAATATCACAAATTGTACTAAAATGGTTAATTTGTAGTCAAAGGGCATGTAACATCATTTTTCAGATTTGGAGGTCATGGCAGTTTTGTTCCTTACACTGGCTGATATCGTTTCAATTCAGAGAAGAACATTAATTTTACAGAAATAAGCAGTAAATTAAATTAATAAAAAATCAATCATACACATAGAAGATTGTATCCCAAAAATTACTTCAACCTTTGAGTCAAGCACCCTCTTCTTCTTTGGGAGAAATTATAACCTGAAGCTCATAATTGTTGTTTTCTAAACATGCTGGAGGAGAGAGAGGTTCATGATTTAATGCAATCTGCAGACATCACCCGATGTTTTGTACTGACAGAGAATACGCAGACTAAAAGCCTGTTGTAAAACAAAGTGTTTTTTTTTTTACCTAGTAAACAATATTTTTGCAACCAACAGCTGCAGTTGGGTTGGTGGTCTAGCTGTTGATTTCCTGTGTAAGCTATCTGGTCCAGCTAGCTTGTTGTTCATTCCCTCAACAGTTAGGGAACATAAGGAAGATTATTTTTGGTACATGAGGAGAAATATATCCTCTACGCTTTACTTTCATTGACCTTATCAATATAATATATAGACGGTTAGAAAGCTCATTTTTTTAAAGAAAACTGTGTAGCGCAATAACCCATTAGGCACTTCCTGTTTTTAGAGAAAATACTTTCTTAAAATTACTAAAATGTGATATTATTTGCCTTTTGATTGGAGGCACTCAGCTTTTTTTTTTCTATTCTGTGCTTCTTGGATCCAAAAAGAAAGTCTTTTGCACACTTTCATTTAAATGCTCGCCATTTACAAGCCAAAACACTTAACAAAGTGCTCTCATTTTTCAGCCTATGAGACGACGCCGGCCCGGCCCCATCTTGCTCTGTTCACCTGCCTCTTCCTGCTCATGTCATTCCTCGGCGTTGCGATGTACTGCACCGACCGCAGGCGGCCGCAGAGAGCATGCGAGGAGCTGGAGGCTGCTTTGGCCGTCTACCTGGTTCACATGAAGCAGCTCCTATGGGGCTGCTGGATATGGCTGACCATGCAGTGACTGTGACAGACCACAGATGGAGACATGGAGCTTTTCTTGTTTTTATATATAGGCCTAAGCCTACAAACAGCTCAGCCATGTTGCAAGGCTCTGCAGTGGTACCTCTGCACCTCTCCCCCACTGAAAAGGGAATATGTTTAATCCCAGAAACATGTAGCTTCCATCTCTGTATGTATGTATCTACGTATGCACTACAGTTTGGATATGCCACTCCATATGTAAGTTGTGAAAATATTTTTGCACATTTGCAACTATGATGCTCACATGTTCCCCACAATGATTTCATCCTTCAGTTCAGGTTAAAGTCTTTTGCCTGTGAGTGGATGTTTCCAAAGGAATGCAAATATTTATTTTATTACAGAACACAATTTGTGTATCTAATATATCCCAAACAAATGAATGTGTATATATGGCTCAATATAATAAGGTCTATCACTATTTAAGTATTTAGCCTTGTAATTCCATATTCACGAATGTAGAGCTGTTGGAAAATGTTTCAGAAGTGCCCGTCTGCAGGGCAAAGAATCGGGTGTTTGGTGTTGATCCGTTAGAAGGTGAACACAGGGCTACATCACCTCATACTATGGAGTTAAATGGGAGGGAAAACACTTTATTCTTTCTTGTCTGTCCGTTCCTTCCGGGATGTAACATCTGCAGCACATTCTAGTTAATCAAAGAGAATATACTTAAACTACAGTGCCTTGCAAAAAGCCATTACATGCTCTTTTCTGTCATCCTTTATCTGCTTATTAAGATTTTAAGTGATGGAGCAACACAAGATTGTGAAGTGGAACGAGAATAATCCATGATTTCTACATTCCTTTGGATATAAACATAGAGAGTGTAAGGTACTTTGGCTGCACTTGATTTAATTTAGAGGTATCAAAGTAATAGGGGCTAGACGAGGTCAGATTTATGTCACATCTGTGCTTGTTTTTCTCTGATACTCCTGGCGTCCTTTATGAATATCAGAGTATTTTTGCCACATATTTGCAAGTACTCACTTCCTCTCTCTCCTCTGGGTCCCTCTCAATTAAACTCATCTGCAAACTGACCCTTAGTTTTTTTTGACTTCTACTTATATAGAATATTGGAAACCACGCATCGTTTCCTATCCTTTCCACAATACTCTATATTTTGTCAAGTCCATCACATAAAATCCCAACAAAAAAATATTAAAGTTTCTTGCTGTACAGTTGCAAAATGTCATGGTGAGGGTCAATAGTTTTGCAAGGCACTGTATATGAAGGATGATAGTTTTAATAAATCTCCCCCTCTCAACTGCCTGATGCCCCTCACCCTTGAATCTCACCTGTTATGTATATATATGTTTGTCTTCTACTGTGTGTATCAATTCAAAAATCCCAAAATATACTTTTACTTTCATTGTTTTCTATTTTCTCACCTGATATCGGTGTAACTCCGATTCCAAACTCCTGTGTATATTTGGACGAGAAGAAAACCCTGGAACAATTGAGGCCAAACTCAGAATTATATCAGAACCAGATACAGAATTTATTGTAGATATGAGTTATATATGAGTTCCTTTATCGAATGAAGCAAATAAATAAAAAAAAAGCAGCCAAACTTGCACACAAATGGGTTATATAGGAATCAAAGGGCACAGTGATGCACATCCAACATACCTCTTGTTATGAGCAATAAGACAGTGAGAGAACAGTGCTGTCTGTATGACAGGTTTCAGGGAAATCATCATGATCCTGTTTGATTGTGGAGATCTCACATTTGAGCTTTGAAGCAATATGGCAAATCAACGCCTGCACAGAAGAAATAAACAAAAAACAAACAAACAAAAAAAGATAACACCCGCAGCTCCATACTGTCAAACTAAATTGTTATTAGCAATAAAATGATTCCCAGTAAACTCACATCCTGTATATGCACACTTAGCTGCCTTTTACAGTTATCTGAACATTTATGGTCACTTTGGAAAAAGTGCCTTTATAGAGGGTTTTCTTAGTTCTTTTGGTTTTATGTTCTCTATTATTTTAAATAAAACTGTCATTGCCTGTCAAAATCAGATAGCTTGCTTGTGCTCTTCCTGACCAATATAGGATGTGATGTAATAGCCACAGGAATGCATGCAGGTATACATACATATGTCACAGCAGTAAAATATATTGTTTTTGTAGCCTATTAAGAAGAAGAAGCCTCAGTCACTAAACAGCACATCATAAAATCTGTTTTATATCTCACTGATGCTAAAAGCTTTTTTGGACTAGCTGCTAAATATATTAATGCTTTGAGTTGCAGTTTATCATACACAACTCCTGGTAGCTGCTGTGTAAACACACTGCAAAAGCGCAGACTGATCTACTTTGCTTACGCATGCAAATGAGCCTCGGTTCACCAAGATGTGCCTTTTCACAACAAAAGCCTACCTAAGGAGAACGTTTATCTAGAGAAGACCAGAAAACAATAACTACACCTCTTTATATATAAAACCACCCGCTCAGCTTGTCATGCACTGGGTACCATGCAAAAAATTTACAAAGAAATATGATTTTAAAAAAAAATAAATAAAAAAATCCCCAAACTCATAAATACTGAGTGGCTAGAAAATTAAGAGTTGAAGAAAACTCAAGTATATATTTCAGGTAAATAGTTGGCTTGGTTTGTAATCAATAAGCAGTGATTAAAACCTGCAGGTTTTTGTCTGAGTTTCATCCAAGGAAGAAAATGATCCATTTGATTTGGTTCTATGACAATGTAAAGCAGAAGCCAATTCATTTTGATTGTCTCCACAGGCAAACGTTGGTGAATCTTATGGCAGAGATGAGAACCTACAGTTCTGGTCACAAGTAGGTTTACGTAAACTCACAACTTTCATATTTAATTCGGTTTTTAGATGTGCATTTCAAATGTGGTTTTTTTTATGCTAAACTGGTGTTACAACAACTCACTACACTGAATTTTAAAACAAGAATTCTGACTGCATGTTTGCTTAAATCAACATATGTTTATAATTAAAGATATGAACTCAAATATAAACATAAATCCTTGATACAGTTTAGTTAAAACTCCCTTGGTTAGTCATACGCTGATGACTTTCAGTGGACAACAGAAAAGATTTTCAGAATTCTGGTTCAAAGCTGATAGAGCTCATTTAAATTTGTTGGTGTCATATGCCAGATTTTAAGGGAAGGACACACTTTTACAAAATATTAGAGTTCAGTACTTTTCAAACGTATGATGTTAGCCTGCTTTATCCATTCCAAAACTAGCCTGGGCAGCCCCTTTTTAGGGTTAAAAGGCTTTGGGCTAAATAAACTAATTACAATTTTGAAAGGCACTGACTTTAAAATATTCTGAAAATACATTTATTACGTTTAAAAGCTGTGTTGGGCCTGAGAAACCAACGACTTTAAAGAAGTATACCGATTCAGCTAAGAGCAGTGTTACGTCTTTTATTCTAAATGCTAATGAACTGTCACCAAATGAACCAGTCTGGGTTACACAACCAAGATTAGATGTTGTCTTGCTGCAGCTGCATGAGAGGCAGACAGTCTCTCCACTGTCTTGTCTTTGGAAAAAAATAAAACAAATATGGAGCTTTTAATGAGAGCGTTCTGGCTTGTTTTTGTTCAGCACATAAATAAACCTAATTGAGTGATTTAAAGCTTGGCAATTTTTTTATTTTTTTCTCCACAACAGTAGTGAAAAGTTAAGGCCAGAATTTAACATCTCTACAACCTAACCTGGCATTTTGACCAATAGATTAGAGAGAGCGTGTGGATGTAATTGTTTATGAAATTCTGTGAAGTTGTTTGCTGTATCATCAGCCCACCATAAAAAACGGTTCAAATGCATCATCAATATATAAAACGTGATCCATGGGGATGTCGAGCGTATGTGAACTTGTGACGAGCACTGTAGGGGCAGAGATGAGAGAGTTGTAGTTTCTAGATCAGGCCAGTTTTGAGGTCAGAGCTGCAGCGTGAAGAGCGGCTGAGCAGCAGTTCCTTCTCGTGGATCAGGGAGTCGAGCAGATCCTCCTGTCTGTAGTTATGGTAGACCTTCAGGAAGGCTAACACTGTGATCCCAAGCCAGGACAGCCAGGCAGCCCAGAGGCCAAACTGAAACAGGGACATCCTCCATTTATGACCTCACTTCAAGAAATATCAGCTTGATTTAGGAAACAAAAACCATTACCTGAGCTATTACAAACTGGTCATAGAAGGCAGAATTGTCCACGCCGAGTTCAAGGTCCGTGTCCTGCAGCTCCTCACAGCTAAACAAATTAATCGGACGTTAAAGGGGACCATATGATGCTTTTTTCCCCCTGAAAGTCAATTATTGTGTGCTCTTATCTCACCTGTTAGGCATGGTCCCACTCTCAGTGACGGCATCGCACCACAGGTTGAAACCCACGCTGACAATGGTGCTGGACAGGAAGATGGTGAACATCACCAGGGAGCTTATCATCAGGTTGAGGAAGGCATTGAAAAATGAGCTGCTGGGAGAAAGAAGAAACACACAAAATCGGTCTATGCTGCTCTTAAAGCTACAGTACAGCTAATATAAGTCCTTTATTTCCTTTCTTGGAAAATGTGAATACTGCATAAGACCAACAGAAAAAAGATTTTTATACAGAAATGTTATGTAAGAACACTTCTAAGGGACAGTTATCTAGATGACAGTTATTGACACCCCACACAACGAGAATATGCCACAAAAGACAATTGCTAATGAAGCTGAAGGTTATATGAAAGCACATTAGTAATGTGAAGTTTAAAGGAAGGAAAAAGTATGTTAGAAAAAGGTGCACCAACATCAGGAAAAAAACCACACCATTGAATTGAAAGGTAAAATGGTAAATAGTCTTCATTTGTATGGCGTTTTATCAAGTCTGGGGATAGCAAAGCGCTTCACACTACAGTCATGTACACCATTTACACACTGATGGGGGTAAGCTACATTGTAACACGAGCTGCTCTAAAGCAGACTGACAGAAATGAGGCTGCCATTCAATTGTCTTCCTAAACTCTGAAATGGACATTAACAAATCCCTCATGGCTGTAATTATTTCTTTTGTAGGTGGACTCTTGTCTACCACATTTTTTCCTTCCTCCAAACTTTCCATTAATATGAATAGGGCTCTCTGTGGATAGAGAAGCTTCTTTTACATCAGCCTTTTTAGATGTATCCCACTTGTGCAGGGTGTCAATGACTGCGTGATGGACAGCTGTATTATCCATAATGACCCAGGCCATAACATGGTTGCAACATAAAATTTCAGCGTGAGGTACTTTTTTATTGATGTTACATGATATGATGCTTTTCTGAGATACTGAATTTTATTTATGTATTTTATTTATGTTTTTTTTTTTTTTTTTTTTTTTTTTTTTTGAAATAAAACCCAAAACCAACAAGGTTAGAAAAAAAAAAACCTTTAAACCA